AGAGAGACAGATCCTACAGAAATGTTTAAACATCTGACCTGATGAGCAGCAACACAGAATGATTTCACAAAAACACACACGGGGACGGACAGACCTTTAAGAGGAAACTGTGTTTAAGAATCCAGATCAGCTGGACGTGTTTCATGTCCTCTGCGCCTTCAATCACATTTTAAATCCACATGTTTATGTCTTACTTTTGAACCTTCTCCTCTTTATGTCGTCTTCCTGTGCTTGAATGATTCAGTCCTCTCTCTCTCTCTCTTTATTTGTTTCCTTCTCCACCAGAGAGACGAGCTGAAGTGTCCGTCTCTTCCCAACTCCTGCACCTGCACCTCAGCGGAGGCCAACGGGCTGCCGGGGCCTCAGGGACCAGTGGTAAGACTCACCTGAGTCCAGCTCTCTAACCCTCTCTCTCTCTCTCATCTGTTTACAGTAATGACACGTTCACATTCAGCCAGGGTCCTTTTCTTAACTCAGCTTTACTTTCACACACACAGCTTCTTTTTGTAATGGAACATATTTCCACTGCGGTGTTCTTAAAGTAAGACCCTCCCTTTGATGGTCATTTATGTGTATTTATTTCCTGCATGTCGTACAGGGATGAATATTACACCCTCCAGCACATGAACCCTGAGAAAGTTCTTTGCAATGCCTCATAAAATCTCTTAAGACGGTGGAGAAGGTGAAGTGAGGTGCAGCGTGACGGGGGCTGACCTGTCTGACAGCTGACGGAGATAAACCTCCAGCCTCCTCCCCTCCCCCCTCTCTCAGTGTAATAATGTCAGGGTGCGACTTCAGAGCAGTCTGGACTTGTTAAATGTTAAAAACAACAACAACATGAGTCTGTCTCATATTACTTTGAGACGATCAGTGAGCCTGAAGGTTCCTACTCTATATAAAAACACATCTTAAAATGGTCCTGTGATTTCCTGATGCAGCTTCAGACTGGAGCTTAATGAAGTAAACAATGTAAACATTCTCGCTCTTTAACTGTGTGAGATTTAAGACTTGATACATGATTAGATTGCTTCTCACTGACTCATCCTTCATGAGTAGTTCAGGGTCTCTGCAGACGTTCTGAGTGTTATGCTTCTGAGAAATCACACCTTAAAATGTTTTGAGTTTCTAATCTGTGACATTTGAAGTAGAGTGAATGAGTTTCTAATCTGTGACATTTGAAGTAGAGTGAATGTGTATGTTGTGCTAACATGAACCCGTGTTGCTCGTCATCAGGGCGCTCCTGGCAGCAAAGGTCCTCGAGGGGAAAGAGGAGAGGCCGGTGTTGTTGTGAGTAGCATCTTGGTGTCTTTGTTATCTTTTTGAGTTAAGAACTAAAGATAGATCTCTGTGAGCTCGATACGACTCTCCAGCTATCATCCCTCAATGAAGACAGATTGTTAAAAGTCTAAAAGCTTTGAAGAGAGGAGTCACATCTGATTCCACTCAGTGAATATGTCTTTTCTCTCTCTCTGAGATGACGGGGAGGTTTAGGTTCGATGCGTGCAGCAGCATTCCTCGCCTCCTGTTCGTCTTGGAGTGTGGAGAGAGATACGAGCAGATATCAAAAAACCTCCCGTGTGTTTCTTACTTGACCTTTCTTTTGTGTTCTAACACAACAGGGAGCCGTCGGACCGCGAGGGGAGAACGGACCACCAGGGCCCATGGGTCTGCCCGGCCCTCAAGGACCCATCGGCCTGTCGATCCCCGGAGAGGCTGTGAGTCTCTGAACACACCTGACACACACACACACACACACACACACACACACACACACACACACACACACACACACACACACACACTAATGCCTCCACAGAAGGGGATTCATTTAAGGATTTATTCTGATGGAAATGTAAAAGGGGGGGGAGGGGTTCCTGTGGCAGAGCTTCACATTCCTTCATGTCTGAGGGGGAAGAAGTGATATGAGAGAGACCTGAGACAACATCGTCACTGAATGTTAATAAATCATGAGGTGACATGAACCCAGATTACACCGAGGATCTGCCTCCAGGAGGATCACACTCGAGTACTCTCTGCTCACTATAACTACCTAACAGCAGCAGTGAAGAGAGTCTTCTTTGATGGTTTTTAAAACACAGGAGATCATCTAACAGGAGCTGGCTTTGTTCAGGCGCTGAGTCAGTGAGGATGAAGGTTTGATTCATCAGATTTATGGAGAGAGATTAAAAACAGTAATATAGATAAATAAATGCTGCATAAAAAGCTTTACACCATAAAATAAAAAGCATATCTACGACCTGATGACCCTCTGACCCTACAAACAATCCATCCAGTTGCTTTTCTTACTTCACTTTTAAAGATATTCCTCCACTTACTACAGCTCCATTTGTAATCTCTGATCTGTTCATTGAATTGTGTTTCTTCTCTGCCTTCAGGGCCGCCCTGGACCAAAGGGAGACTCTGGAGACTCTGGCTTACCTGGACAGAAAGTAAGTGCAGCCCTTTTTGGATCTTAAACAGGAAACGGGGGTAACTCACAGTTGACTACTATTCTGGCGTCGGTCTGTGCGGAGAAGGTTCTCCGACTGGGGAGGATTCAGAGAGAGGAGAGAGGGAGTGCTGGCTCTCTGCAGCAGCTCCAGGAATATTACTTTAAATTAAATATCTGCAGGGAACGAGCCAAGAACAAGTCATCTTGATTAACAGCTCTGGTGAAGTGTTGGCCTTCGGTCAGACTCGTAACCCTCCTCTTAACGTGAAGTTGTTTTATCTGGTAATAAACGAGGAGCTGCGGTCCAACCTGACACATCCAGAGGTTTGAAAAAAATAAATTATATTTAGGTTTCTGAGGTAACAGTTGGCCTGAAAGTACAGAACATGGTGGGTCACTGATGAAGATCCAAAGATCTCTGAACAGGATGAAACTGTCTGGGGTGAAATATTGAGTGACCTTTACCAGGTAACATTTGATATCTTCCAGAAATGAAGCCCCTCGCATGAACGTTTTATGAGCTGGTAAGAGATTAAAGCTTCCTTCAAAGCTTTACAGCTTTATTACACCAAACTGATAAAAGAGGATGAAAAATGAAGAGAACAGAGAGAGAGATTCCAAGAAGGTGACGTTGATTCAGCCAGACTTGTCTCTTCCAGCACAGATTTTAAAGGTCAGGTCACTTTGAAGACTTGATTCCAGATCAGCTCATGAGCCGGATGAAGGTCTCTAAACGCTGGAGGAACCTTTAATGTGTTTCATCACTTTGATATGAAGAGACTCCATTTAACATGTAGCCAGGAGCAAACCCTGAGATACTCCTGGAGGCTTTTTGTTTACTTTCTCTAACTCTAAGCTTTGAGATTAGATTTTAAAATAACTAGCACTCAGTTTTCAGTGGCGGAGCTGCAGGGAAAGTGTCTGTCATTGGACGTAAACGCAGAGAATGACGACACTGGAGAATAAAAATAGAAATTCTTTGATTCTCTGATTGATGAATGAGGTACTCTGCCTCCTCGTCCTGTGATTAAACTGGCATTGAAATGAGTTAGATTCAGCTCCATTTGGACGACCTCTGATGAGATGCCACACTCGTTCACTTTGAGTTATTCATCTGAGCAGCATGTTCCAAATGTTGGAGAAAAAAGGAAACCCTGTGGGTAGAGCTCGTGAACTTTAACGAGGTTACTTTGGAGTGATTGATATCTCTGTGAAGTTTGCCTGACGCAAACAAATCAAAGATCCTCACAGCTGTTACTAAGTGACCTGTCTTTACCCCAACCCTGAACTCTTGGATGGTTTAAGGCTTCCTGTGTAGAAACAAGACGAGCCGATGCTTCCTCTTTCATGCTCGGGTCCTTGCTAACAGTCAGAGCAGAACCTGAAACCTGCAACCAATGAGAGCCAAGTGGTTAGACTCTGATGTCAAGAGCATACAGCCATCTTGTCTTTTTTTTTTTACAAAGATGCCTCAGCAGCGCTCCATCTGTTCGGTCACTGTATCACACCTGTCCCCTCTGACAGAGCAACATGAGCTTCCCAAGGTTTGAAGAGACAAACGTTTACAGACTGATCTGTGGAGTCATGAGTCAAACACATGACTCGGCTCTTGACTCTGTTGACGGGGGGCGGGCTGCAGGTGACCACGTTGGAGCAGATGCTATAGCAACATGCATTTAATGAGTTGCAGACCGAGTTGGTCCTGGTTTATAACGGCCAATAAAAGAGATCTGGAATATATTATGTAGCCTGTAAATCTAATGCCGAGGCATCAAAGAGCAGAGACGATTGGTGATAAAAGTAGTGAAGAGCGTTTCTGAGCAAACGATGTCGAACAAAAAGCTAATTTACTGTTGGACACAGAAATCCTGCACCGATACAAACCCGTCTGAACGATCGCTCGGAGCAAAAGGTCAATGTTTTTAGTTTGGAAGCTGAAATGTAGTCTGATTGTTTTCCTGTGTTTGCAGGGTTCAACTGGTCCTGCTGGTTCTGTCGGCCCGATCGGACCAGCTGGAGTGAGGGTGAGCACAGACGGGCTGCTTTTAATGGACACCATGCTCTGAGGAAACATCTAAATGTGTTCATGGCTCCAGAATTCACACTTGATCTTTATTTTTCAGGGCCCTCAAGGAAAAGAAGGACCGGCCGGACCCAGAGGTCCCGCAGGGTCCATGGTACGAGTTTTGATGGTTTATTTGTTGAGCTTGAGCCTCCCTGTAAACCCAGTAAAATAAATTAAGTGCATCAGTTATTAGAGGAGAAAACATGATTCAAGAATGTTCTCAACTCGTGTTTAGAAAGCTGAGCGTGACGACTGGACTCGAGTCTTGTTTTTCATTTTACTAATGTGAAAATGATTGTATCCAAACCATTCGTTTTCTCAGTCTCCTCCTTTGATTTCGTTGTTTCCCTCACAGGGACCTCCTGGATCTCCTGGACAATCAGGAGCTGCAGGAAAACCAGGAAACCCCGGAGACAACGGCGTCCCTGTGAGTGTACCCTCATGGTGGCTCAGCACATCTCTGAGAGTAAATAATGTCTGACGACTGAACTTCTCTTTTTCTTTTCAGGGTGCTATCGGTCCAAAGGGAGACAGGGGAGAGAGAGTGAGTGAATCTAAACATCCTTCTCAGTGTCTAATTCAAGGATATACTTTTCTCTCAAGCGTTTTGTTATTCTCATAAGGCGTTTTCTTTTAGAGATTTCCTCAGAATAGTTCTTGATACCTTTAACCTCGTTGTAGAAGATATCATGTAGGTTCTCAGCATTAAATCAAACCACATGTGAAGACAACATTTGCGCAGTGTTCCTGTTTTTGTGAAGGTCACAACATATTGTCTCTGGTCAAATTAAGCAGAAAACCCCAGAAGGAAAAATCTGGAAATGATTCAATCAATAATCTAAGTTTCATGACTTAATCACAACGACACATTTGGCAAAGAGAACCTGAGAGTATTAAAGCAAGTTCATGTTTAAAATGCAGATTCAAAGTTCCTCAGGTATTAATACACAACTAGCTCCACTGATGCAAAACACGTGAAGAGAATCAGCACAGGAAGGACAACGAAAGTCAAACGTAGCTTTGATAGAAGTTTTTTAAAGAGGAGAAAACAACACAACAACAACAACAACAACAAACGGAGTGAACAGAGAACCAAACGTCTTCCTCCACTTCATCTTGAATCTCTTCTCTTTGGCTCAGGGTGAATTTGCTCCTCAGAACATGATGCGGTCCATCGCCAGACAAGTTTGCGAGCAGCTAGTGAACGGTGAGTGATCAACGTTTACTCATTAAACTTGGAAACGTTTCATACTGCGCTGAGTCTGAAACTTAACAGATCTGTTCTCTCCTCCTCTGCAGCACAAATGACTCGAGTCAACACATTACTGAACCAGATCCCTAACGGCAATTACCGCAGCAACAACCCGGGTCCACCAGGACCTTCAGGACCTCCTGGCAGGCAGGGACCCCGTGGAGAGCCCGGCAGCGCAGGAACGAACGGCTTCCCTGGAAATCCAGGTTCACCCGGGCAGCCGGGAGAGAGAGGTACGAGCCACCAGGACACGAGAGTTATAAAAATAAACCTGAACACAAAGGCAGCACAGTGGTCCTTAAAACAGCGCAGCAGGAGATGCTAACGAGGCCTTAGCAACGTTGTGCAAAAACAAATAATCACTGTCATCTGCTCTAAAGCCTGATTCTCTTCTCCCACACATACAAAGCTGCCCGTTACACAGTGAAGACAGAATCTGCATCACATTTAGATATCAATCAAAGAGGGAGCTCTGATGAAACATTAGGGCAGCTAAGGGTTGTTCTCCGCTGAAACACAACATCAACTGTTCTCTACAGAAAGATGACGACGAGGAAAAGGAGAACATGCTCCTATTTGAGCCGAAATGATCCAATAGACGACACTTTAAGACAATTATGTATTTGTCTTGGCTTCCTGCTTTTAGAATAAGTAAAGATAAAATGATAATGCTGTCAAAGAGCTCAATCAAAGATCTAGTTTAAAGGTGTTTGCATCGTTGATAAGTCAGCAGGGTTTCTTTGATCCTAACTTGTAAGCATGTTCAGTTTTTGAGCGACGTGTTCACAACAGGTCGAGTCAGGCACATGAACTCAATCAAAGCTCAAACTGAAGAAGAAGAGACCAAACAGGAAGTAAAGAGTGCTGTGATGCAGAAAAGAGGGGTGTATTAATGCCAGTGACTCATTTCTCACAGATGCACCGGGGTGTACATCTTTGTTTGTTAGCTCGATGCTAACACACAATGGAATTGGCCATTGACGGTAGTTTTACCCAAACAAGGTTAAGTTAAATCGGTCGTCCCTTAAGTTAAGAGATGCTAAGTTAGCTTCTTGTCGTCTACTGTTCTTAACGCTACAGATGTTTATCCTGACACTAATGTTTGCTTTTTCTGTTTTTATTTAATGGCGGCTAACAAACAGCTTTCAGATACGCCAACGTCTGGCGGTAGTTGCAAAACATAATGGAAAAATATATTTTTAAAGATGAGATTTAAGTTTCATGAACACTTTGATTCATTTGTAAAGTAATGACTATTATTCTTAAATCATGACCCATCATTCATACACACTGAAAGTGATCTGGGCTCTTGTTCCAGTTTGACATTAATCTGAATTTTCACCAAACATTCGTCTGTTTCGTTCTTCTTTCAGGTCCCGCAGGAGAAAAAGGTGAACGAGGATTGTCAGGAGTCGGACAGAAAGGATCGAGAGGACCTGCTGGTACGTGTCCTAAGTCTTCTTTTTAGACCTGACAAGAAACAGAACGTTTAAACTGCTGATGACAGAAGGCAAAATAATGTGATGCACACAGATGATTAACTGTCAGAAACTGGAGGTAACTTGTTAATAATTGATGAATATATAGAGATACAATCTTTTAAATCTGGCACGTTTAGCTGTCTTTAACATCTTTTCGATTATTGGTCAAAGGCCAAATTTTATTCAATGTTCTCATACCTGGGCTATTGTCTCTTTTCATCTGTATTATCACTTGTGGTTGGCATGACGACAGGAGAAGCCATGCTGGCATGTAGAAAACTATTGAACCTTATCGTCCTGGACAGCTGTGAAGGCTTTGAGACTTTGACGCTTCTCTAAAGTTCTCTGTGCGCTTAAACAAGCCCAAAAATCATGATGTCATCCAGCTCAGCCAATCACACGTCAATCTAGTCCTGCTGTAATCCAGCACCCTGACTAAAGCTGACCCACTAATCTGTGACCTCCAGTCTGTTAGAGGGAAGAAGGAAAGAACGAGTTTTGTGGAGCAATCAAGGTCAAGTCGTGGAAACAGTGGGAGCAGGGGGAGAGGGGAGAGGGTCTTGGAAAAAAGAGGAAGTGGAGGGCAGTGAGTCAGAGTGGAGGAGGTTCATTCACAACACATGCTGAGGAGGAGAGGAGTAGACGGACCAGCAGGGAAACTTTCCAACTGGGCTTTGTCGAGTCTAGACAAAACACAGATCCTGCCCCGTCCTTTTTCTCTCTCTCATCGAGCACTTTGTTTGATTTCTCCCATCCAAATGTTGAGCCCCGACCCCGTCAACAGCAGAATTCATGAAGTGTGTAATGTTTCCAGCTGGAATCTGATCGCAGTGACACTGGAACATGATTATCTGATCACCAAAAACTTCAATTTGACTTCAAAGCTTCAAAGAAATAACTTTGTCTGTGTTTGGCTTGATCACTCAACAAACATAATATCACAGAGTTTCTCTAATTTCAAGTGTTTAAGTGTCACTAACTTCATCTTTAACTTCTTTAACTTCAGGCTCACAGCCTCAGAGCGCCTAGTCTCAAAGCGTCCTCGCATGAGCAGCAGCTATCGTCCAATAAACGAGTAGGATTAGTGCTCCGTTTGCTTCCACAAGTCCTCGTGGTCTACATGAGGTCTCTTGTGTTTTTTTTACTCCAGGTCCACCAGGAGAAAGCAGGACAGGCTCCCCAGGCTCTCCAGGCTCCTCCGGAGTTCGCGGTCCCCCCGGACGTCCCGGATACGCCGGAATCCGCGGGCCTCCTGGACCTCCTGGTTACTGCGATTCTTCTCAGTGTGTCGGTATTCCTTACAACGGGCAAGGATACGGAGGTACGTATGGCGACTGAATAAAAGACAGTCTCCAAATGAAGAGTAGCTGCTAATGGTTGCTAATAATCAGCTGGTGGGGGGATTTGGGCTGAAGCTCTTTAAAACTGAATTCAACACTCCAACATTTTAAGAGATCAACTCGTCAGAGATGGTCGCTTCAGGATGTTTTTTGCCTAGCTTAGCACATCAACGGGCCAGCCAAAAACTCAACCTGCAACAACTCAAAAGCTTCTGATTAGATTTTGTCTTTATGCTAAGCTAGGCTAAAAACGCCTTGGACATGTTAAAGAGCTCCTCTCAATGAATATCCTAAAATGTTGGAGTGTTTGAGGATTAATGCATGTGTGGGATCTCAGTTCTGGTAGTCACTAATCTTAACATAGAGAGTGTATTTGATGCGCTGTCTTCTGCTCTGAACAACCTGACACCTCCCTCCCCGTCCTCTTTGGCCTGTTTCAGGTTCACGATAGTAAACTTTCTATGCCGCCTGTGCTGCTTTCACTGAACAAACAAAACAAGTCCTGTAACTGAAACACTCGCTCACACGCTCTTGAGCTGTTTAAAGGATAAAACACCAAAAGGAAACCATTAACAAACTTTGCTGAAAAAAACAACACAACAAAAGAGGGAAACCACTACTAACATCGACTCACATCCAGTAGAACAGAAACCCTGCAGCAGCAGCAGCAGCAGCAGCAGCAGCAGCGCTGATGGCATCGACCTGCTTAGTGGCCTGTTTGCATCTTGACGCCAAAGACCAAACAAAGAAATGTTCAGTGGAGGAGCATGCACCAAACAACAACAACAAACAACCCAAACAAATACTAACAAAGGTGGATTTGTAACAGAGAAACAAAGTGCATCTCCAGCAGCATCACCAGCATCACCAGCAGCACTTCTCTCTCTCTCATGGTGGAACGTGTAAATAAACCCATTGTGACTTGTAAATGATGTTTGAATCAAGTCCACTGCATTCAGCCTTTAACATCTGTAGTTCTTCAAGCTTGTGCTATGCAAACAACAACCTGCTGCTTGCTGAATGCCACCAGAAGCTGCCCGTGTCTTTGTAGCTGAACTGCTCGGGGGCCATTCTCAATCCCTCCTGCTCATTTGACGCCGAGGTTTAGACGCCCCTCCTTCATGTCAAAAACACGATATCTTGCATTTCCTGTTTTTACTTGTACTAACCATCCCTGAGAAGAGTCTCCAGGCTGCTTTGATGTTTTTTTTGTTTTCAATCTGTAACACCTGCACTTCTACCACGAGTAAAGAGGAAACGATTAAAAGCACTGCGATGTTTACCGGGGGCGTGTTCAACGACGCCAAGTCATGGTGCTCAAAACACCGAACAAAAACATGAAACCACATGTGAACCATGTGTGAGGATGAGATGTCGCCTGACGGGGATAAGAAAGCTCTCTGTAAAAGGTCGTTATGGCTTTAGTCTATCCGTAGTCAGGACGGGCATTTCAAGCTAAAATAGGATTTGTTAATCACCGGGAACTATTCGGCCCCTCACAGCTGGTCGTATCTGGCGTGTCCTGTGACCACTTGCATTCAGAGGTCACTTTCTCGCTTCTTATAAAAACTACAATAAAGGTATGAAACGACTACAAACTGTGATGTGATGACATGATATAAAACTCTGATCGATCATGAAGCCCGATGGTCCTCGACCGCTCTGCGGGTCATCAGTGAGTGAATGAAGTATTTGTTAACAGTGTAAAACTAAAGACAGACTAAAGGACTCACAACACGGCTGCACAATAATGGAAAAAAACGAAGAATCTCGTCTGAATCTTCTATCTGAAAAAAATCTGAAAATCTAACCAGATACATGTTCTTAACGATGTTCAACATTTCCAAAACGAAACAAAGTTCAGTAAATAAGCACAAAAGTGAACATTTAGCCGTGACTCTCTAACCCGCAGGTTCTGTATCTACCTGCTAAAATGTTTAACACCTGTGTTTGTAACGTCACTCCTGAAGATAAATCCAAAAAGCTTCTTTTAACCGCTCAATTAGCCTCTGACGTTAGCAGATAGCTACTTAGCTTCATCTGTCTGCCATAAAAAACATGAGAAAGCATCGTTTTCATACCCACGTCTCCTTCCAACAGCTAAAATGTACACATGAAATATTAACTTCTCTAAATACTATAATTGTTTTTTTAAATTTTAAACTACTTCAGACTTTTGCAATGTTTATTGTGAATAATATTTGTGATTATTAACGTTAACACAGCGATTTATTGTGCAGCCCTATTCCGCAACGAAAATCCATGTTAAGAAACATCAATATCCTTATCTGCACTGTGCTGTGTTATTATAAAGTCTGACAAACTGATCAGGGATCACAGAATGACCCACACCGTCTCACCCTCCTCCTTAATCAGTACGGAGAGAAAACCACCTGAACTTAGATTTAAGATAAATTAATGACTTTTCAAATATTGAAAAATCCTGACCCCTCCCTATGATGTGTAGTACAAACTGGTAACCTCCCACATTCAAGCCGACGTTTAAAACCCTGAGAGCCGATCATCAGAATCTCTTCTGATCTTTGGACACGCCCCTGATCATTACTAACCCTCTGAGTGTTTGCGCCAGCCGTCACTGGTGCATGTTAACAAAAAAAAGTGAAAGAACTTGCCAACTTACGGCCCCAACACTATCTCCGAAGCAGGCCAATACCCTTCTGAACCCAACCCCCGAGTAGTCCCAGTCCCCGAAGAGGAGGAGGAGGAGGAGTTCCAAAACCAGCGTCGAAAGAGATCACTATCAAGAAGAGCAGCCAAAAGGCTAACATCATAATGTTCTCATTTTCTTTTCTTGTTCAACCTGTGTTTGTTGTTGGATTTATGCACATTATACACTTAAACAAAAAGGGGTTTGACACCTCGATTTGATTGGAAATTACCCTTTAAATGCCTTAAAATGTGTGTGTGAATATTCCTTTACTGGAAGAGGAAGGGTTTGGATCGAGGGCGGGAAGGAAACTTTTCAAAAATGTCAAGAAAACAAAGTTAACACAAACCTGTGAGCTTTTCTTTTTCCCCACTCTTGTCTCTTGTGCTTGTACCATATTTTGCATCAGGTGTGTGTGAAGCAGCAGTGTTGAACAGTGCGTTAGTGTAGCTAAAGAGGAAGACGGCGTCGCAGCATGACGGTCACAGTTCATCCAGTATTTGATTCAATCTCTTCTCAGTGTTTTCTAAGGAGGTTCAGCTTCATGTAACACGGCTTTCATTTTGTATCTCTAGACTTTAATATTTATCAGTTTGACTTTTTACTCCGTCACAGCTCATTTTAACAAAAAAACGTGGAATTGCATGTCTGTGGTGTATATTTAGTACATGTTGTTTTTTTTTGTTACATTTCATTTTTGTTTTAATCAGAATATAGTTGTTGTTGTCGTCAATCTTGTCATTTTTCTCAGTATCAGAAGCAGTCAGTGCGAGACTTTGGGAACGGTGTAGCTGCTTCATGTTTGAACTGCAGATTGTGAATTCCACAGCCTTATTTTCTTATTTATTTCTGAGAACAGAAGAGGCATTTTTCAATAAAACTACTGAAAATTTACACCTGTCTGGTTTTCTGACACATTTTCTTGGCTACACACTCGACGATTTTCAAATCTTAAAGAGGACATATGATCCCCCTCCTCCACCTTTTCAAACAGTCCCCTCCTCCACCTTTTCAAACAGTCCTCCTCCACCTTTTCAAACAGTCCTCCTCCACCTTTTCAAACAGTCCCCTGTGGTCTAAATGAAACATCTGTGCTGTGCTTTGGTCAAAATATAACATGAATCAAGCACCAGAGGAGGTTTGTGACCCTGTAGAAACCAGCTCTCTCAGAACGCTCCGTTTTGGTGTGTGTGTCTCTTTAAATGTAATGACCCCCCCTGAGTTTACCCTGTAGACATCACTCCTCTGTAGAGAGAATAAAAATGGAGGACCTGCTCAAAAGTTTAGTTCTAGGCTGGAGGTGGAGATACCAGGGGAGGGGAGGGGATTTTTTTTTTACCAGAATCCCACTGTGACATCACAAGGAGAGCACATTTGAAACAGAGCATTTTTCTCTGTGTTGTAAGACTTATGCAGACCACAAACAAAGGACTGGATGGGTTTATTTCACATGTTGTGGGTCAGTAGACTCTCAGGTTACACAGATATATGTTCAGAAACACTGAAGAGGAGGATTTTTAGTGGGGTTGTGGACAGTGAGGACTGACTGGATTAGAGGAGCATCCTGACTCTCTAAAGTCCCTCTTTCACTAACTGGAAAAGCCTCCAGACAGGACCGGGTCTGAGTTAAAGGTCCCTGAGTTAACAAGAGGAGCTCTTTAGGGGATGGCAAACATAAATCACCTTCCTACAGTGACCCCTCGAGTCCAAACTGATGATGAATCTCAGCTTTGACCGTGATCATGTAATCGTTATTTCTCTGCTGATTTTGTTTTTTACGAGAACGAGCTCCTGACGTTAGCGGTGTTGCTCCATGCTGATTTCTCTGATATCTTCCACCTGAATCACCGATGGAACATAAAGCTAAATATATCTGAGCACACCAGTCATCAACTCCAAGTTTAAACATCACATCATCTCCATGGAAACACCTCATCATCGGTGTTCAGCTGCTCAGATGAGTTCATATCTACTCAAGTGTGACTCATCTTTAGCTACGATCCCATGGAGACCATTAGCACTATCAGTACTGGTTCTTTAGATGACTATTTAAAACTCAAAGACACTTCAAGAGAGCTGCAACAGTTAGATCCTTCAATTAATAATCCATCAAATGAAAATTAAGCTGCAAATATTCAGACACACACTGAATATTGTCTGCAGATTAATCCATCCAAAAGTGACTGTATCACTACATAAGCGCTGAATATTTCCTGGAGGATGTGAGTATGTTAGTTTGCTTATTTAAAACAAAGAAAAAGAGCTTTTTAAATGTTTCCCTGAGAGAAACCACCTTTACCTGCAGGGGAAGCCTCTTTAAAAAAATGCTCCAGATGTTGTTGTTTTTGGTGTTTTTAATCAGAAACTCTCTTAATTGGAACGGGATGAAGAGGGGGGGGGGGGGTTCCCTCTGAGGGTCCTACTTATCAGCAGCTTTTGAAGTTCCTCTCCGGACCCTGAGACAACGTCTTTGATGGTGGCAAAATTCAAAACATATCTGGAGCATGAAGAAACGTTTTTGTTTGTTTTTTAATTGACGGTTATTAGAGATAAACTGTTGACTGCACGCTACATTCTGCTGAGAGGAAATGTGATTAAAGACAAAAACAAGGACCGACGGAAACGACATCAACAACCAGGACGCTTTCATGCACCAGGGAATCCAATATGATCAATACACAACAAAGGTTAACGGTGGCATCCACTTTACAGAGTGTTTAAAGATCCACCGTCTGCAGCTCAGCGTGTAGAGAGACACTGATGCCTGCTTCATGTGTTCATTAACAAATGTTTATCAAACGTTGATGTTTAAAATGATTCATCAACCAGTGTCTCTCACAATCACTAGTTTGAACCGTTCACAAAGAAAAGCATCCCGTCTTGTTCCTTCATTAAACTGCAGCTACATGCAGGTCAGTTGAAGCCGACCAGGATGGCTGCACGATCTTCAAACAATCTATTCCTCCTCTTGAGGTCATGATGCTGTCCTCAGAGAAAACAGGAAAAATAAACCGTGTGTAGGCCTAGTGCTGTTCTGATTCAAAGACTGCTATATGAAAGTTAATGAGTGACCAGCGGCGGTGGGCTCAGAGCTCAACTACCGTACTCTAGCTGGTGGGAGTACAAACTCCACAAAGCAAAAACAGAAGGTAATGCATGTTATGAACTTTGCAGAACAGAATAGAAATTTCAATTGTTGTTTAATAAATCCTTCAAAAGGGAGCTTCTTTCCTTCCCCGTTGATGACACATTAATTCATGAGTTAATGAGTCATTAATCTCTGTGCTGTCACAGTTTTCTTTATTATACAGTTAGAGAACTATTTTCTCTGTAAAATTTGCTAAAAGTTGATTGAAATGTCCTCAACTTGTGGGCAACTTATTCAAATAGTTGTCTGCTAGAATCACCTTAATAATAATACATTTTATTTAAAGGCGCCTTTCAAAACTCTCAAGGTCACCTTACAGAGCAGAGATAAAAACAACAAAGTAACAACACAACGATAAAATTAACATTAAAACACACAAAAAAACACAAATGTACAGGATGTAAAGAGTTATGAGACCAGGTGGAGAATGATCAGACTGAATATGACAGTTTAAAAAAGATGTGTTTGAAATATGAAAAAGGTGGGAGGCGATATTACAGATTAGTGGTGGGAGGGAGTTCCAGAGGTGGGGGGGCAGAGCGGCTGAAGGACCTTAGCTGCTCAGTGTTGTCAGCTCTGACCTCCTTCAACAATCAATGAAAATAATCACACACTTTGGAGTGACGCCTCATTGGTCGTCGCTCTGTGACTGCACACTTTCAGCCTAAGTGATTCTGGAGCACATGAAGCTGCGTTTTATACAATCAGTCCAGATTGATGTAGCGCCGCCTCGCTGCGTTCAGGGGGCAGCTCGTGTTGAGAGCAGCTTTCAACACGAGGCAGACCAGTGTTTATATGTGGCTTTTTAAATGCCATAAAAACTCATCCTTCAGCTCATTATTTTTAAGCTTTTAGCAGAACTATAAACTCGGAGAGGTTCACCGGGCCAGAGAAATGACGTCATGGAAAGTGTGGAAGCAGGAGCAGGGTCTTCAGATTTGAGGTGTCCCAGCAGCCACCACTGTTCAGAAACTAAAACCAGTATCAGTCCAGTCCACATGCAGTATTTATAACGGGAGTGTGACTCAGAGGGATCCAAATGCTGAAAACATGATACAGACTCAGAGCGTGATGGAAGAGCACAGACAGGAGGTCAGTCCTATCTGTTGACTTGGATCTCTTGGGCTGATTGGACTTCAGATGACGGAGTCCAGAAACTGTTTTTACGAGTACGAGTACATGAAACTGCTGTGAATCATGACTTCACCCTCAGAGGTTTTACATCAACAAAACTGTGATTAATTCTGCAGCAGCAGCAGCTCTGTGTGTGAGCATATGTAAGTATTTGACTGAAACATCTATGCAAATTAAATTCATGATTTAAGTATTTTCTTTAATTTAGAGAGGCTGCTGAGTAAAGATTAAAACCCATTCACACCCGTGTCTATGTTTTACACCTCCATCATCCAGTCTGTTCTCTGCACCACCTTGGACAGCGCTAACCACTGCAGCACCGTGCAGCCGGCTCAACTCAGTCATGTAAAAACTTGAGGGACTGACCTCTTCAGTTTCACCTCCTACTGGTCAGGATCTCTCCACTGTGAATCATTTCTTTCTTTCTTGGATTATATTTTAAATTCCTTTCTTTCTGTATTTTCTTCTTACTGAAGAAATAAAAACTGTGTGATGAACTCATGCTGATTAAACTGTGAACGTTACGCTCTCTCTCTTTTTTCCTGGAAAGTGTCTGCACTAGTTTATGGAGGAGACTCGTATCTCCATGTTGATGTTAAGCTCGACCTCTCTCCTCTCGCTGACTCTGTGATTTACCGTTAAGTCACAGAGGCTTCCTGTTAGAAGAATGACTCAGGTCAGAGAGTTTTCATTATCTAACAAGACTTTTCTTACAAAGATACAAAGGTAGAAACACTCAGATCTTTGTCATGCAGCTGAATTATCTGGTCAGCTGACACTTTTCTTAATAACCTTAAAGAGTAACTAAACCCCCCAATCTCGACATTTGAGTACAAAGAATTGAAATTCGACATTTTGTGTAAGATATAGCTAAAGTGACTGCCCTCTACAGGTTGAAACCGGCTACTGCAACTGATTTTTTTCCTATTGGCTGATCTGGTGCGTGCTGACGTATGTGGTTTAATCTTTCGTCACCAAACCTATAAAAGCGTCGTCACTCAACTCGTCAAACTGCAGGGAGTCGAGTGGATTGGGAGAATTGTAGGAATGATTATAGCTTCAGGGATTAGTTAGTTGGATTGAACTGTTAGCATAGATTATTTTAGTGTAGATTTTAGAGTTGTGAGTTTAAAGACAGTCAGTAGTTAGGGTGTTAGATCTTTTCACTTTAAGTTACTCTGAGTTGAAGAGTTATCTGTTATATATTACAAATATCAGGGTTTATACATGCTAGCATTGGCATTTACATGATACTAAATAAAAGCACACGTATATGGAGTAAAAGTATAATGTTTATTAGATCATGTGGGACAACTTTCTCCCTCTGATTTATGGATATTGTTCCAATTTTCATCACTTTCCACCGTCATCTCAGAGCAAGAAATATATCAAACACTTTGACTCCAAAAAAGTCAAAATACGAGCTACCTGTCCTCCATGAAAAACATCAAAATAAAGTCAGGTCATTAAGACATCTTAAGTAGAGCCCGACCGATCCATCGGCCAGCTGATATTAGAATAGCCAGTGACCAGCGGCTAATTTTACGGCAGATATGCACCAACATTACGAGATTTATTTAGAGATTTAGAGTTTCATTGTATTAAACTAGCA